GCTGGCCCGAGTGAAGGCGTGTCCTGTGGTGCGCGGCCACTCAGAGGTCCTGACGCGGAGTCGAAGGACGTGGCGACCGGCCCGAATGAGGACGGGCCCGTGGCTGGCAGCCTGGCAGAGGACGCTGGTCGAACAGCATCGTGCAGAACTGAGCCGTCTTGGGCCGAGGGAGGATCTTCGTGAGGAGATCTGCGATCATGTGCTCCGTGGCGAGGTAGCTCAGCACAATCCTCTTGGTGTCGACGCACTCGCGGATGTAGTGGTACTTGACGAGGATGTGCCGCATACGCGAGGCGGCGTGTTCGGCAACGCGCTGCGCCGGCTGGTTGTCCGTGTGCACGAGCGTGGGCTCGCACAGGGCGGCGCCGGTGAGCTCCTCCTGGAGTTGGCGAAGGAACATGAGTTCCTGTGCGGTGGCTGCGAGAGCCATGTACTCCGCGTCGGCGGAGGCTGTGGCCACGGTGGCCTGCAGCTTGGAGTTCCAGGACACGGGGCCCGTGGAACAGAAGACGACGAAGCCCGTGCGGGAACGTCGCGTGTCAAACGTCGGAGGCGAACGACGCATCCGAGTACGCTGAGAGCACGCCGTCGGCAGTGCTGCCGCTGCTGGTGTCGCCAGTGGGCGGCGTACTTGATGGTGTAGGACAAGGTGCCCTTGATGTAGCGAAGAAGGTGCTTGGCAGCCTTCCAGTGTTCCATGCCAAAATGCTGCATGCGGCGAGACAGCATGGAGACAGCCGCCGAGATGTCTTGAGCGTCATCGTCGCAGCATAAGGAGGGAGCCAAGCAGCTCGCGGAACGGCACATCCGGGAGTGGCTCCTCCTTTGTCGGCTGGCCTGTCGACGTAGCCCGTGCAGAGCGGCGTGCCGAACGGCTTGCAGTCAACCATGCCGAAGGTCTCCAGCACGTTGCGCAGGTAGTGCTCCTGGCTCATGGTGACGGTCCTGGCCTTGCGGTCGTGCTGCACCTTGATGCCGAGACATATGTCTGGGCTGCCCAGGTCCTTCATCTTGAAGCGCTTGGAGATGGCCTTCTTGAACGCGGCCATGTCGCTGTCGCTGTCGGCGAAGATGAGGAGGTCGTCCACGTAGACGGCAACCCACATCACTTTGCCACCCTTGCAGGTGCGGCGGTAGATGCAGGCGTCCGTGGCTGTGGCGACGAAGTCCTGCTCGCGCATCCAGGCGTCCAGCGTGTGGTTCCACAGGCGCGGGCTCTGCTTCAGCCCATACAGCCCACGCTTGAGGCGCTGCACCGTATTCGGCGAGAAGATGCCGTCGACGGCCGGTGGCTGGACGTAGATCTCGTGATCCACGGGCGCGTTGAGGAACGCCGT